ACCCCCCCCACTCCCCCACCCCCCAGCCAAACTTTCAGTCATACATGTCTTTTGATTTAAATACCATGCCCCTTTGTCTTCAGTAAAATTGCCAACTATCCCAAGTGAGAGAGCTGGTACCTAAGGGAAAATAGGATTAGAACTCAGTCCTTTCTAGTAATTTGATGAGTACTATATAGTCAGAATCATATTGTGTGTATGTACATGTGGAAGCTAGAGGTCAAAGTTCACTGTCTTCCTTTGTTGCTCTCCATCTTATTTCTTGAGACAAGGTTGAATTAAGAACTTATTGATTTAGTTTTACTGGGTGGGTGGTGAGCTCCAGGGATAATCCAGTCTCTGCTTACACAGCACCAGGACTGGCAAGCACATGCCACTACACTTGAATTTTACTTGGGTTCTAGTAAAGAACCCATGCTTGTAACACACTTTGCTAACTGAGCCATTTCCTCTGGCCCCTAGAGTAACTCTCTGTCTTCAAATTTCCTGTTCTAAGCTGAGTTTGGTGGCAGAGGCCTGCAGTCTTAGCATTTGAGAGGGGGGATCAGGTGAATCACTATTTTCAAGACCAGCCTGGGCTCCATAATGAGATTCTGCCTCAAAAGAAGCAGGGCCTGAGGATGTAGTTTAATTGGTAGAGTACTTGCCTAGCATACATACATGAGACCCTGGGTTCAATCTCTAGCACTGTATTAACCGGGTGTGGGAACTGCTGCCTGTAACCCCAACACTTGGAAGGTAGAGGCAGGTAGACCAGAAGTTCAAGCTCATCCTCAGCTACTTGGCAACTTCAAGGCCGATTTGGGCTGCAGGAGACCCTGTTTCAAAACAAAAATAAATGAACAAAATATATAGCAAAACAAGTAAGACAACGACAAAATCACATTAGCAGTTCTTTGGGGAGCTGTCACCTGTGTTGGGTGTGGGAGCTATGGCATATGATGGAGGAAGAATTAAGTAAAGGATGGATTTGGACCACATTTAGGAGCAAAAAGTTCAACACAGAGTGTCCCCGTGTCAGGGACACAGGAGATCAGATGCCTCATGCCAACAGAATGCAAGATGACTCAGCAGGGCTGTCACTTTCTCACTGCTGCAAACCATGTCTCCCCAATAGCTTATTGTAGTCCTCCAGGCACCTATGAATGTGAGCTTATTTGCAGATATCGTCTTTGCCAACAGAATTGAGCTAAGATGACATCATATTCAATGAAGATGGAAGCTATTCCGCTATGATTGATGTTTTTTTTTTTATAGGAAAATAAACAGATCTTGGGAGGAGATTGCCATGTAAAAACACAGATTTGGAAGGAAAACACAGACTCAGGAGGAAGAAAGGTAAACAAAGATGGAGGCAGAGGCAGGAGCTGGGTTTTAAGATACTTAGGGATGCCTGGGGTCCTCAGAAGTTAGAGGAATTCAGGAAGGAGCCACCACTGGGAGCTGAGGGATGGGCATGGCCCAGCCAGAATATTGATATGTTTTCAGTCTCAGGAGCTGTAAGAGAATAATTTCCTCTTATTTCAAGTCAACAGTTTGTGGTGCTTTATTAAGTAGCCATAGGGAATGATGACACACAATTATGACTCTGCTGTTCCATGGTGGCCTCCTGAGCAGTCCCAGGAACTACCTGAAGGAATGAGGATGAAGGATCTTGTGAGTCCAGGACTTTGTGGACAGCCTGGGAAAAACATAGCAAGATATCAACAACCCCCACCCCCTTTTGCACTCGTGGATACCACTTTATCACTTATTGGAGTCAGTTGGTTAAAAATAAACAAGATATGAAGTTGGGAGTGGACATTGTGGTAGTGGTGGGGTCAGGAAGGTGTTGGAGAGGGGAGAGGTGAGTGCTGGGTTTTGGCACCCAAATGTAAATGAGTGTGAGTGTTACAGCTCTGGACCTGCAAAGGCGTCCTGACTCACTGGGAAGCCAGGCTACCTAGAGCAGCAATAGGACTGCTCTGGAGGCTGGGGCTGCAATAGGACAGCTCAGTCCTGGAAAGAAAGGTGTCCAGGACGCCAGGCTACATGAGGCTGGGTGTGGTGGGGGCTGTTAAAGCTGAGCTCTGCTCTGTTCCTCTGAGGGAACGTCCTAGCAGAGTTAATAGCCTCTTCAGCCCTTCTTTGGCTACAGTCAGCTAAAGGGGAAGAAACACATGCAGAAATGTAGTAGTCAGTTCACGAGAAAAGTTGTTACTTTTCTGCTACTGACTTGCTTAGCTTGCTAAGGAAGCATTTCATCAAGTTCTTCTGTTCTCCATCAGTGAATATAGATCTTCACCCAAGACTCTTTTGAGAAAGAGATCTATTTGGGAAGGAGGAATCCAGGAGAACGGCTGTCTCTGCCAGGGTGGAAAAGGACAGCCAACAACTGAACTGGCAGACAGACTTAAATAGGGCTTCTTGGGGGACAGAGTTTTCCCAGGGAGAGGTTTTTCTGCTCTGGGATTAGTTAGTTTTCCTGTTCAGGGATTGGTTAGTTTAGTCAGTCAGGGGCAGAGATGGCTCTGATTTCAGGGCAAACTGTGTTTCACTGATCCTTCTTTAGCCTTTTGGCTCTAATTTAAGGACCTGGGCATATTTCTTTCTCTGGCTCTGATTCTAGGGACAAAGTTTGTTTCTTTGGTACTAGTTTCAAAGTCAGGGTGTTTTTCTTTGGTTTTGGGCCCAGTGATAAAGTGTTCCTTTCACTGGCTCAGGTTTCAAATCCTGAGTGTGTTTCTTTCTCTGGCTCTGGGTTCAGAGTCAAGGTGCTCAGGGGTTGGTTGCTTTCCTGCTCAGGGACTGGTTGGCTCTGTGTTTCAGTTGCTCAAAGTGGGTTTCTTTGACTGGCCCTTTTACCCTACAAGAGGGATGGGTACAATGGAAGGACTTTGGATCTATGTATGAAATTCTCAAAAAATGTATTAAAAATAATGATAAGGAGGCAGTAATATGGCTCAGTAGTAAAGATGCTTGCCAATAAGCTTGATGACTTCAGGTCAAGCCTTGGGACCCACATGGAGGAAGAAGAGAATTGACTCCTGTAAATTGTCCTTTGACTTCCACAGTAGCACTTTCACCTCCTTCCATGTGATATGTGAGTGCACACCCACACAGACATACAGTAAACAAACAAATGAAAAAAATGATAGACACACTGCAGCTTATACATTGTATGAGGATAAGCATTTATGAACAAATGAAAATAGCAAGTTCAAAAAAAAAGATCCTTTTTTTGTTTGTTTGTTTGTTTGTTTTGTTTTTCGAGACAGGGTTTCTCTGTGGCTTTGGAGGCTGTCCTGGAACTAGCTCTTGTAGACCAGGCTGGTCTCGAACTCACAGAGATCCACATGCCTCTGCCTCCTGAGTGCTGGGATTAAAGGTGTGCGCCACCACCGCCCAGAAAGAAGATCCTTTTTTACACCTCTGCCTTTTAATATGTCTATCTGAGAGAATAGGCAGCTCAGCAAATATGAAAGCCTCAGTGTGACAAAGAACTAGCAGTTTGTTCAGCTAGCAACATAGGGAGTAATAGCAAGTGCCAGTCTTGGCTCTTGGGGTCCAGTGAGGTACCTCGTTCTCAAGATAGTATTGGAGATAAATTCTAACCAGAGAACACAGGCTGAAGAATCAACACGGTTACCTTCAGGGTCTCTGTACTAGGGCTTTCAAATCCATGGTTTTTTTTTTTTTTTTTTGTATCATTATCCCAACACCTCAGCTCCCAGTGTTCTTATCATCTAGGTTTTCGGATAATCAAGGAGGGGGTAAAGTCTTAAAGAGCACAGCTGCCAGGGTCTGTTCAGACTGGTCAAACATTTGTTTAGGTTGTTTAGGCTTCTGCTGTGATGAGCTGGTGACCATGGCATACTGACTGTTAAATGTTTGGAATTCCATATGGTTGGAGTAAGGCTGAGAATAAGGCAGAGCCTATTCAGAGCATCCCAGTGTGCTAGACATAAATAGTGTGCTAACCTCAGGGTCTTATAAACAGCTTCTGGCCTCTTGAAATGGAGTGTGTGGAATTTCTGGCTATGGAGATCACCAGAGGGAATGTTTCTTTGTGACATTTCCCTCCCTGCAGACGGTATCTATGGTATGACACCCCTGTCCTCTTCTCTTGGAGGAAAATTGTCTCATGTGACCAGTGGATTTGGGATACAGAGTTGAATGTGTTTAGTTCTGCTCTGCTCCTTTAATCACTGGAAGTATAGGCTCTGCTATACTGTTTCTCTGTAATATAGACCTTAAAATTGGGTCATAAAGTCTGTCTAATTCTGAGGCTCAGCTTAACTTTTTGGCATTTATTTATTTATTTTGAGTGTGTGTGTGTGTGTGTATATGTGCAATCAGGCGCGCACGAATTCTCAAGTGCTTGAACTAATTTCTCAGGGTGTGTGTGTAGAGGTTAGAGGACAGGAGTGGTTGTCTCCTACAGTGTGAGTCCTGCAGATTGAATATAGGGTTTTAGACTTGGCAGCAGGTACCTTTACCTACTGAGTTGTCTCACTGCCCTCTGGTGTTCAATTTTAAAACCACTTACCTACAGGTCTGAAACACATCCTACATTTCCAAGTATTATCTGTGTTGCAGGTAATATTGTCATCCCTATCTTCCTTGCTTATACATCTTCTCTCTTAACGGTTCAGAATTTACATTGTGAAAAAGGGTACTATTTGTTGTGGCCTTTCAAGACCTGAATAGAAAGAAGAATGATGGCACTGATGGCACTGGTAGCTAATTGGCCTTTTGTTTGTTTGCTTTTTAGGTTTTGTTTTTTTTTTTTTTTTTGTTTTTTTTTTCCAGGTAGAGTTACTCTGTGTAGCCTTGGCTGTCTTGGAAATCTCTCTGTAGACCAGGCTGGCCTTGAACTCACAGAGATCCGCTTGCCTTTGCCTCTCCCAGCCCAGTGCAGGGGTTAAAAGCATGCACCGCCACTGCCCAGCTTTAATTAGTCTTCCCTTCAGTGACTGTGAGCTTTGATTACAGTTTTCTAGCAAAATGATACATCTGGGTCAGGGATGAGGTGACTGTACACAACCCGGAACAATATAGACTTGGAGGATACTGGATTCTCAGTAATAATCTTTGGTTGGAAAGAGAATGGTCTCCCCTGGTTCCCAGGCTGCCAGGACAATGCAGTTCAACATGCATTTGAACTGAGTATTGAAGTAAAGTATACGATATGTTTGCTCTTAGGGAGCTGAAGCATGGAGAGATGAAAGAAATATGGAGGAGATGGATATGTCAGTTATTTCCCAAGTGGGTTTGTGGGCAAAATCATCAGGTATGGCTACTGGTTTGGATAGAAGAGTGGTAATGTCAGACTTTAGTCTCTCTCTCTCTCTCTCTTTCGGTAGCTCACACACCCCCACACACACACACACACACACACACACACACACACACACACACACACACGGTGGCAGGGGGGTGGGGTGGGGTAGGGGGGTGGGCTATGAAAGCCAGAAGAGAGGAAGTTTGTGGAAGTGGACCCTGCTCAAGATGGGAAAGTCCCAAGACTCTCAGAAGATCCTCCCTCTCCCCGCTCTCTGTGTATATCGCAGAGATATGGATGAGCTCAAGTTCTCTCACACATGCTGCTTCTTCTTTGGCTGCAAAAGAAATCACCACTATGACTCTGAATGCATTGCATCCTGGTACCCAGGACTGTTTTGGATGGCATGGTACCCAATGCTATAAGCTCCACACTGGGGAATCTGGTTCAAGGTCAAGGAGGCTTCCTCTAGAAATATATTTCCATAGAAAGGAAGGGTAGGAATCACCTATACAAAAACCTGAGGTCTAAGGGATGCTGGTGAAGAAAGAGGAGCTGAGGAAAAGTCAGTATGGGTAGAGGCAGGGAAGGGAATGTGATATTTGGATGGATAGGGACACATTGCAGTCTAATCCCTGTGTCTCACATAGGGTGTTGTGCCCAAATTCTGAACCCCAAAATCACCAAGAGGCCCATTTCGATGCAAAAGCAATGAGTCTTTTATTGCATTTTTTTTTTTTTTTGAGACAGGGTTTCTCTATGTAGCTTTGGAGCCTATCGTGGCACTTGCTCTGGAGACCAACCAGGCTGGCCTCAAACTCACGGAGATCCACCTGCCTCTGCCTCCCGAGTGCTGGGGTTAAAGGCGTGCGCCACCAATGCCCGGCTTATTGCAGTTGTTTAACGATCTAAACCCATTAGCTTAGGCCTTTCATCCACCCACCACAGCTGGTGGGGAGAGACCCTGGGAAACCACGGGACAGAGATCTTATAGGGCAGCGTAAGGGAGTGTCTTGGGGTACGCACAGGCTCAGGATTGGCGCGCCTCCAGCCTTGGAGGACCTGCCTTGTGTTG